CGACGGTTATTATCTTACAACCCAGCGCGGAAATTCGTGGTCAGAACGACATCAGTTACAGTTGAATGTCGGTCGGGGAAAGCTGCGAGAATAGGGGAACGAAGTTTCCTCATGTTATCCCTAGCGCTCTCACGAGGGAGCTGCAGACGGGACGAAAATTGCCTGTAAACGTGCACAGGGGGCTTTGTGAGCGCAAAGAGGCGGCGGAGGGACGCAAGCAGTGACTCGACATCGGCGCCAAACAGCACTCCGAAAGCAGAAGCCTTGGTCAGCACCTTCACGGACAAATGGTGGGCGATATTTCGGGCGCGGTTATTGGCGGTGATTGAGGTCAAGTGGACACTCGCTTAAGAGTGTATATATTATGTATGTATGTGTATATTGGAGGGTTAGAGGCAGAGAATTTGATGACCCTATTTATGTACAGTGCTTTTGCAGATTCGTAGTCAAAAACAAAATTTCAGGCATTTACAATGTGATCAGGTCACAGTTCAATAGTAGTCAAAAGGTAGCGCATAAGGTCACTGTAAATTGGTTCGGAGGGATTGTATATGACAGTGTTTTACAAAACTGGGTGTTCGTAGTCATGCTGTAAAAGTCGATTTCTGTCGAAAACAAGGCGGGAAAGATTTATTTTAAACATACAGACTGTGTCAGCCTCCACCATCTGGCTTGGAAGCGAGTTCTACGGTCGGATCACCCGCTGGCTGAACGAAAATTTTCGACGGTCTAACCGCGTGCGCTCATTCCTGACTTTGTAGGCATGGCCGCGCAGTTGGAGTGCCAGATATCAAGATTATCACCGGGCGTTAACAATAGAAGTGTGAACGCGGACGACTGCCTTCTCTCTAGAACCGACAGACGGACCCGGCAAAGCTCGCGGGTTGGTTCCGAAGATGGTTGCTGGTGAGTCATGTTGAGAACCGCAGCCAATAGATTTGAAGCGAGCAAGCGGACAAGGCACCATACCAAAACTGAAGGTCTTTTTACCAGAAGGGTTTATTTGAAGACGGAAAGTGGTAATGTAGCGAGACACAGAAATGTTCAAGCGAAGAAAAATAACACACGAGTAAACAGTTCAGAAAGGCCAACAGTGCATGCTTCGGAAAACAGGAAGTGCATTAGGCATCGTTTTTTATAACGCATCCCGCTATTGTTTCCTCCGTTCCTACAACAAGTTTATATCAAATCAAGGGAAATAACTAAGGTAAGGGAATTGGTGATAATGCATTTCCATCACAAACCCATCAGTTACCAAGGCCTATACCGTACCCTTGCAATAACATATCTAACCCTACCCCTGCCACTAATCCCCTATGTTAACTCCCAACCCTCACCCCTACAATAACTCAAGCGCTGAAAAAATTGGAAATTCGTGTAAATTCACCGATTTGTATCTCTAATAACCAGCACCATTGAAGTGAGCCAGGAATAATCTAAGACATTTGCGGAAACTAATCACCGAACAGTTGTTGAAGACCAATAGGGGACACGTTGGCGTCGTCGACCCTAGAAGAATTCTCCAACTTGTAGGAAGTCGAAGTGTAACGCCCCTGGACCTGGACAGAGTTGTTTGAATGAGGTGACACTTTTCCCGCGTGAGGATCTGGGGTGGAGATGGCGTAACCGCGTGTCAGTGAAGATGGCCGGTGCCCCTTCCTCTCTCATCCGCCGATCCCTTCTCCCCTACCGTACCGTATCGTGACGCTGACCTCGCTCTCCATATCACAACATCGGCACTCCCTCGGCCCTCCCCTGCAGTTGCCCACAGCGCTGCGCTCCCCACCGGTTATTTAGCTGGCATGTCGGTATCGCCTCTTCACCCAGACAGGTTATTCTTCAGCTGTAACTCATCCCCCTGTATCGTTAACAGTTATTATACACATTTTCCTTGCTTGTCTCGTTATGCATTACACTATTTCCATTACTCGACCTGCCTTCTTCCCCGGTGTATGGATGAGTATCAAGAAGTGTTAACAGTTCCGTTCAGGGTCTAACCAAGCAAGGATCTCTCATCTGCGTTTACTTTCTCTGGTGAGTGCTACCCTCGACGTCCTCGGCCGCTACATTGGTGGCAGCGGTGGGATGGAGAGGAGCACATACCTCCCCCCCTCCCGAGTACCAACTCCAGCAGCACTGAGGACAGTGCTGTATCTCAGGAGGAGGCTATGTAACGCCCCTGGACCTGGACAGAGTTGTTTGAATGAGGTGACACTTTTCCCGCGTGAGGATCTAGGGTGGAGATGGCGTAACCGCGTGTCAGTGAAGATGGCCGGTGCCCCTTCCTCTCTCATCCGCCGATCCCTTCTCCCCTACCGTACCGTATCGTGACGCTGACCTCGCTCTCCATATCACAACATCGGCACTCCCTCGGCCCTCCCCTGCAGTTGCCCACAGCGCTGCGCTCCCCACCGGTTATTTAGCTGGCATGTCGGTATCGCCTCTTCACCCAGACAGGTTATTCTTCAGCTGTAACTCATCCCCCTGTATCGTTAACAGTTATTATACACATTTTCCTTGCTTGTCTCGTTATGCATTACACTATTTCCATTACTCGACCTGCCTTCTTCCCCGGTGTATGGATGAGTATCAAGAAGTGTTAACAGTTCCGTTCAGGGTCTAACCAAGCAAGGATCTCTCATCTGCGTTTACTTTCTCTGGTGTGTGCTACCCTCGACGTCCTCGGCCGCTACAGAAGGAGGCGCGACCACGTGCGTCCGCCATCTTGGAGAAGGTTCGAGAAAGCGCGCCCCTAAAGGGGCGCGCCCGCCGTACTGTTCCTTATTTATACGCCAGGCACTTAGTCGCAATTTGGCCTCTCACGAAAAGTATGCATATAATAAATTATTATAACGCTAAAATTAAGCAAGATAGCCCTGGCATAAGTTTAATTTTCCACCCTCGACCTACCTCAACCAATCAACAATGGCGGACCCAACCTTGTCGACGCCCTCTCTGGATAAGCTATAAATACCGGCGAGGATTAGACCCCAAAACCCCGTGGCCGATCGCCGCTCTTCAGACGAGGAACTCCTGTCGCCTTCTCCGCTGGGTCCCAGTGCTCCAAGTCGCCCCTGTGGACAGTCTCCCCAGATTCAGTTTATTTTTGTAATTAGGACTCTTCCCTTAGTTTCATTTCGTACATAGGTCGGTCAGTAAAATAGTGACTAGTCCGTCTTATCCTGTTGGGCCTCGTTGACCACTACTCGCGTTAGACGGGATCGTTACAATTTCGGGAACGTTACAATTTGATGACATCGGTGACAACTATGTCGGACAACCTTGTTGGCAAATTGGTTAAGGAGCTACAGAAATTGGGTCTGCAGCAGCCGTCTGCGTCCTTGCCAGAGAAGCTGACGCGGAGTGCCGACTTCGGTCGATGGGAGGCACGGATGAAATATTACCTGCGCGGGGTGGATACTTCGTCGCAAAGCGGAACCATCTTGGGCCTGCTGGACGATGAAGTGTACTACCTCGCACAGTCATCAGGCATATCCACTTCCATACCGGCGTCGGATATCCTGGATCGCCTTCGTGCAATTCTCGGGGCGTCTGTGCACCCTTGGATTATGCAATCAGAGTTCCGGGACCGCTTCCAGCAGCCGGGCGGAGGAGTTCTCGACTACCAGCAGGCCCTTCGTCTCCTGGGACGGAGGGCGTTTCCCACCATGGATGCTGCAGCTCTCACTCAGCGGGTGTTGGAGCAGTTCGTCGCTGGTGTCAGGGACCCTGAAGTCTGGAAGGCCTTGATGCGGGAGCAACCGGCTACTCTCGACAAGGCCCTTGACCTGGCACGTCAGGAGGAGGCGCTTCAGGCAGTCTGCGATCGACCAGCTTAACCTCTCCTCGGCATCGCTGCTGTCCGGCCGCAGACGGTTCGTGACTGCTACTCAAACGCCCTGGCGACCCTGCACCTGCGGTTCCTACCAACCCCGACAGAACCAGTGGCGTCGTCCATCGCCCCGTCGCCCCAATGGTCCCCAGAACCGTCGATCTGTCCAGTCAATCGATGTCGGCCCACAGGACAGTAGCGGTAGGTACTACATTGTTTCTGATTCAGCTGTTTCATGCGTTGGTTCTACTATTTGCCCTTGAGTTGAAGGCTTTGTAAACAGCACTAGTCTTTCATGCTTAGTAGACTCAAGCGCTGGTTGTTCTTTGATACGTCAGAAGTCCTTTTTAGAGTTCCAAACGAGGATTAGGTATTGTGATAGGCCTAATTTTAAACTTCATACTGCAAATCGCACTCATCTCAGGCATACTGGCCTTGTGGAGTTTTCTCTTGACCTCTCAGGTCTTAGTTTTACCCACCAATTTGTCGTGTCCCCGGATATCATCTGGGACTGTATAATAGGTATTGACTTTTCAAAAAAGTTTAGATGTTCCCTTGATTTCGGTAAGCATTCTTTACGGGCCGCCACGGTCAGTGTGCCTTTTCTTCGCAGTTTCTCTGAGCCACGGAGGGTACCCACTTGCGCGGTTAGTGTTGATGTTAAGGACCTAGTCCCGGCGCACCTCGACGAAGGTAGCGCCCGGAAGCTCAGCCAGCTAATAAGCGAATTTAAGGACTGGGATGGTAAGTCCACGGGGAGGACGGGTGTGACGGAGCATTGCATCGACACGGGGGATGCGAGACCCATCAGGGTTCCCCCAGGCGACTTCCAATATTTTACCAGAAAGAACTAGATGCCCTTATAAATGATATGCTTAGTCGTAATATTATAAGGCCCTCTCAGTCGCACTGGTCATCTCCCATTGTACTTGTGAAGAAGAAGGACGGCTCAATGCGATTTTGCATTGACTATGGGAAGCTAAACGCTGTGACTAAGGAAGATTCCTTCCCTCTTCCACGGATAGATATCACCTTAGACGCTCTCGCTGGCAATATTATGTTTTCGACGCTTGATTTAGCCTCAGGCTACTGGCAAGTTGAGGTGCGTCCCTCTGATAGGGAAGAAACTGCATTCGCTGTCCCCTCTGGCCTCTAAGAGTTCGAGACGATGCCCTTCGGCCTAGCCAATGCCCCCAGCACTTCAGAGGTTGATGAATCAGGTACTTGCACAGTTAATACCAACCTCGTGTTTAGTCTACATGGATGATATAATCGTCCTCGGAAAGGACTTTGATAGCCACCTTAATAATATCAGGGCTGTGTTTAGCAGTCTCCGACAGGCAGGGTTAACCCTGAAGCCATCCAAATGTGTTTTCATAAAGCTCCGTGTGAAGTTTTTAGGCCATGTAGTCTCAGCCGCGGGGATAGAGACTGACGACGAAAAGGTCACACAAATCCGTGAGTGGCCCACTCCCTCAGATGTGACGGAGGTCCGCAGTTTCCTAGGCCTCGCCTCCTATTACAGGCGATTTATTAAGGACTACGCCGAAATTGCTGGGCCGCTCCACAAGCTAACCCAGAAAAACGTAAAGTTCAAGTGGACTGCTGACTGCACCAACAGCTTCCAGACGCTGAAAGATAAACTATGTTCCACCCCAATTCTAGTCTTTCCTGATATTAGTAATGATGCCGGAAAGTTCATCCTTGATACCGGTACCAGCGACACCGCAATCGGCGCGGTTCTCTCTCAACAATAGCTAGACGGTACCGAGCGTGTCATCCAGTATTTAAGTAGATCGTTGACCAAGGCAGAACGGCGCTACTGCGTGACTTGAAAAGAGATGCTGGCCCTCACGCACTTTGTGGAAGAATGCCGGCCATATCTTCAGTACCGGCCGTTCGTCGTACGTACTGACCACATTGCCTTGACTTGGCTAATAAATTTTAGGAATCCTGAAGGGCAGGTAGCTCGTTGGCAAGCGAAGTTAGCGGAATACAACTTTGAATGCGTGTTCCGACCCGGTCGCCAAAATGGCAACGCGGATGCTCTTTCGAGGAAACCGCATCGCCCCCACGGGGAGTGCCCGTCATGCACGGACATTGCCATCTCGGCTATCGCTTTGCAAAGCGACCAATGCCTTCTCTGGGCCGCAGCCCAACGGGATGACCAGTAACGGCAGTAACGGCAGGCCCCTCAAGAAAGCTGAGCTAGCGGGTTGTAGTCATGAGACGCAATGCCTGCTAGCCTTTGGGACAAATTGTTCATCGAAAATGGCGTTCTATTCTATCGCTACAATGAACAATACCCAAGGCGAATCGTCCTACTGCTTTCGATGGTGGACGACGTAGTCGAAAGGATGCATGCGGAACTAGGGCATTCCGGCATCCATAAGACCGAGTGGTCCCTTCGCCGGCGTTACTACTGGCCGAATCAGAAGACCGACATACAGAACGTTGTCCGGTCTTGTGAGCGGTGTTTAGGCTTTAAGTCCCCCGGGCACTCCTACAGAGCCCCGATACAGCCACTTCAGACAGGCTACCCCAACGAGAGGGTAGCGGTAGACCTAGTTGGTCCAATCGCGCCATCCGCGAGGGGAAATAGGTTTATTCTCGTCATGGTAGACTGTTTCACCAAGATGGCTGAGGCAGTACCCCGACCAGATGCGTCTGCCCCCACAGTAGCCCGAGCCATTTTCAACGGGTGGATCTGCCGCTGGGGAGCCCCGGACCAACTCCACTCAGGCCGAGGCTCGTCGTTCGAGAGCAGCGTCGTACACGAGTTGTGTAAGGCTATGAAAATTAAGAAAAAACGCACTACCGCGTACCACCCACAGGGCAACGGCCAGGCGGAAAGGACGAATCGGACGCTGATCAATCTGTTGCGGGCATTTGTCGACCGGAACTCAGCACCCGCATGGGACGAAGCCTTGCCGGCGTGCATGTTGGCTCACCGATCCACGGTAAATGCCACTACGCAACAAACGCCGTTCTTCCTAACGTGCGGGAGGGAGATGCAACTCCCCGAGGATCTCCACCTACCCCCTACACATCCGGTTAAGAACGTCGACACGTACGCCTCGAGGATGCGGAAAACTCTGCGCATAGCATCGGAGGAAGCGCGATTGCACCTCCAGGAAGGTCAGCGCCGTCAGAAGGCATTCTACGATCGCCTAGCACACGGGACGCCCTATCAAGAGGGAGATATCGTGTGGATGCGGAATTTCGCCCCGTCGCCGAGTGTACCTCAGAAATTTAATCCAGCATGGATAGGCCCGTATGTAGTTAGAAAGGTCCTCTCCGACACGACTCGCAGCCAGGACAGACCGTACTCAGAAGAGTTTACGGTACACTTCAATCGCTTAAAGCCAGGCCCATCGACAGAGGAGGACACAGACTGTGCCGACTCGGGAGCCAGCCCGTCCCACGAATACAACGACCAACTAGTCGAACAGTATTTAGAGGTCCCCCCAGAAGGCGGTTACGCTTCGGCTGAGGTATTCAGGGATGGTCACCCGATAGCGAAGACTCTCGAAGTACCCCCAGATGGTGGATCCGCCATCGAACTAGATGATTCTGCCGAGGACAGCAGACCCTTTTCGCAAGGGGGAGCAACCGAGACGAGGACAAGTAACGCTACGCACAGTCTATTCTGAGCCCCGGTGAGAAGGAAAGACGATGCCGATCCTCAAAAGTCTTATCAGACGGAAGACCGCACCAGAAACACCGTGGATGCATGGAGACGCTTGCATATTTTTGGCCGGCCTACCAGCCGCGTTTGATGAAGTGGCGAGGACACCCGTTGGCCATGAAGACGCGCTAGAGGTAACGTAGTTCCGGCTTTTGTTCTGCGGCTCGCTGTAGTGTCTCTGCCCTTCTGCAGAGTGTTCGCACTCCGTTGCGTTTGCGGCTTAAGGGGTGCTTACTTTTTTAGCTAGGGGTTTTGCATGTATTAGAAACCTTCCTATAGACCATCGTTTTTAGGTGTCCATTGGATTTTCGATGCAGGAGGGCGTCAAGGTACGGCTGTTGTTTGTTGATTTCCGCCCCCATTGTAAACTGGATGTCAGAGAAAACTGAGTCCAGGCCATCGTGAAATGTTTGGACCGACTACTGAAGAAATTAAAAAGCCACAATGAGCGAAGATTTGAGGTCCAGTTAAATTATATCGTTCATCCTCCACAAATGAAAACAAGGATAAGGGGCGATTTTGTGGATTTCACTGTGCTTGTGTTGACGTTTGGGAAATTTCCTGATTTCAATTATCAGAGTGATGGGGGTATCAGTTCATGCCAGTGTAGAACTGTTCTGTCTCACCGCCTGTCCCGTGTCACAGGCACGCCTTACGCACAAATTCTGACCTGCCTCCTGGCTGAGGATTGTCTTTGGTCCCCCCGTGGGCGAGTGTTGGCGCACTCATGTGACCTCTTTCCTCCCGGTCGCGGGATCGAGTGCCAGGTGTTGCACGCCTCGGATTGACGGCGGCCAATAAGCCAAAAATGGCCATGTGTATACATATGCATTAGGAAGATGGAATTCTTTGGGAAACAGTGAACTTCATTGTGCAAATTTTTAAGGCTGGTTCCTCAGCTCGTCTTTGGAAAACGGGCGTGCAAAAACAATTAACTTCTAGACTGAGTCTGACAAAGGATTCTATGATTGGTTGAGTCAGTTTGAATCTGTCCTTAACGATTTTGTATGTGGCATCTAGATCGATATGCCGGTTGAGCGCATTGCCTCCAGGATTTCGCGGCCTTTCCTTTTTGGTCAGGCGCCAACAATGCGAGTGTTTTCCCATGCAAGTTTGTGCCAAGTGTCTAGTGTGTGCATGACCACCTGAGATAGATGGTCGCGTCTCTTTACCTCTAACTGATGTTCTTGTATAGGGGTTGAGACCGATTTCCCAGTTTGGCCACAATAGACGGCATCACAACTGGAACATGGCATTTTGTAGACAACACCTTTTCTTTCAAGGTACCTAACCCTGTCCTTAGGATGTACAAGCTGTGTGCGTAAGGTGGTTGCCGGCTGGTGAGCTACGTGTATCTGGTACTTTTTTTAATTGTCTTTCGACTAGAAGAAGAAGAGGAAAAAGAGAAAGAAAAAGGAGACGAGGAAGAATAAGGAGAATAATTATTCAAAGAAGAAAAAGTAGACGGGAAGGCGATCGCGGGACCAATTGTTTATTTTTTCGACGTTTCGAACTCTTGTGTTAGCCTATCGGGAAATGACAGAAAAGACCCTATAACTCACTGCATATTTAGCTTATCTCTGCCGGGGATGGCCTTCAACCGCGCTACTGATTTGTTCACGCAGTGCTTGATAAGTGATTGGCAGATCGATATGTCGATTGATTGAGTCCTCAGTTGAGTGCCAGGCTTCCTGCAGCAGGCGTGCCCAAAGTCAAAGTCGTGCTCTGGCGAGGAGGCGTGGACGACTACGGAGGAGAGTTTATCTTTTCGTCTCATAGCCAACCCGTGCCTGTGCAGTCTCTTCGAACCTGTTTGCGCTTCTCACCAACATAATTGGTTTGACCACAATTGTAGTCTATCCGGTAAATGACCCCCGATCTCCGACTGGCGGGAATGGGGTCCTTGGGGTGCATGAGTTGCCGGCGTATTGTTACTTCAGGTCTGTGAGCGACGCCAATCCCAAATTCGCTCATTAGTCTAGTGAATTCTTCTGACACACGGCACTGCGCACCAGCATTTCGGTTTTGGTTGCCCATTTTGTTTTCTTCCCCAGGTTTCTCGCCTGCACTTTTCGACAAAATTCCCAGGGTAGCCGTTCGCTGTGAAGAGTTTCCACAGCAGGAACTGGACCTATGACTTCTTGTGTGATGGCTCAGTGTAATGGGTTTCTACACGCCAGCGGAATGTTGTCACGCAGCTGGATTTGCGTGGAGGGGGTTATTGTTAGAATGCGAGAGGTATTCGTCCTCTTCCTGCAGACCGTTATTTTTAGCTCCCTATCACCTTTTCTCTGAACTACTATGTCGAGAAACGGCAACTGGCAATGTTCTTCTTCCTCTGTCGTGACCTGGATATCTGGGAAGATCAGGTTTAGATATTGCGTAAATTCCCTAATACTGTCCGGATTGGTGATGACAAATGTGTCATCAACATACCGTACACCCAGTCGTGGTCGTTAGCTGTCAAAAGCCAGCGCTGTAAGACTGTCTCAACGATCAAGCTGGATGACGGCAACCCCATTGCTGTAGCTTTAACTTATTCGTAAACAGCTCCATTGAAGGCAAAGAAGGTCTTCAAGCAGCGCTTCAGTAGATCAATAAGGTGTTCCATCTTGAGTTTTTGTTTGTCTCGTTATAATGTTCTTCTAGCAAGATTTGTATGGTTTCAATCGCTAGATGTTGACAGATGGCCATACCGTACTCCCGACGTAGGTATTAGCTAGAATTATACTACTAATAGGGCTTTTTGTTTATTGGGTGGGCACTAAATGATTATTCCACAGTAATTGACAGTCTTCGACTTAAATGTCTATTGAACTTTCGGTTCTGACCCAAAAAAGTCATGCCCCGCGAAGTTAACTCCATGTCCTGCACTCAATAACACCTGAAATCATTACCTTGACATGTATATTTGCATGCATATGAGTCAATAGATACATACAAACTGATGAAACTATATTAGAGCCAGTAGCGACAAACTGGATAATAAATGCCGTTATCTTGTTTTCCTTCCAAAAGGCAGAAGCAAGCAATCGCAGCGTGATCTACCCACAGCGGCGAATGGTTTGG